GAACAATTATTTCTTGAAAGACTTTTCAATACAGCCCTAAATGGTCAAGAACCGTGTATCTTAAGACCCATAGTAGGTGAGAGTTTCAAAATTACATTAATCATCCTTTCATTTCCTTCTTCCCATTTAAATTCCCATTTCTTGCTCACATCAAGCAAACACAAATCCATTTTTATTTCATCTTGTCTTGTTTACGAATCATGTAAAAGTCACACTCCTAAAAGCCCTTTAATCCTTCATGCACGTAAGCAAAATGTCTTGTTTTCTGTTTCTCTTTGTTTCTGCACAATTTTGAGAATTTTACGGTTTTCTTTTTACTTGTCAAATTCTTTGAGTGTTTAGCATTTAGTAACGTCAGAAGAGACCCAATTTAACAAGAAAACGAGCCGGCCATTAAGTAGCTAGCAATGGAGGGATCAGGAGAAATGAAAGAGGAAACTATGCCCCCGGGGTTCCGATTTCATCCCACAGATGAAGAACTCATCACTTATTACCTGGTAAATAAGATCTCAGACGCAAGTTTTACAGGAAAAGCCATTGGAGATGTTGATCTTAACAAGTGCGAGCCGTGGGATCTTCCAGGTATATTTCCATGGCAGCTTATACACATTAAATACATGATGCTTATATTTTTTATGTATTTTTTGTGCATATAGGTAGGGTTTGGCCGAGAAAGAACTGAGCATGGAAAAAATTAGGGTTTTCTTAAATATGCTCATAATTAATTAGTTTTCTTCATTTTACTTATGGACAGATCTTCTGCTTTGATGAGATAGACCATAGTAAGAAGAGGGAACTGATGAAAAAAAAAATTCAAATTATGTAAATTTTATTTTAAAGCTTCATTAATTTGGAATACCAGAACTTTAGCGTGTTAAAACATTAATAACTTGTAATCCTTAATTTGTGGTAAGGTTTTGGATTCAAATATTACCTTTTTTTTTTTTTTGTAAAACTATGGATTAGTCAACAATCATTTCTTGCGGCATTGATTTAGAAAATATTTAAAATTTCTCAACAAACTCTAAAATTTCTTATCTAGCACCTAGCTTGATCCAAAAAAAAAAATTCATTCTCTTTTTTTCTTCTTGAGAATTAGGGAAGGCAAAGATGGGAGAAAAAGAGTGGTATTTTTTCAGCCTTCGTGATCGAAAATATCCAACAGGAGTGAGAACCAATCGAGCCACGAACACTGGATACTGGAAGACCACTGGAAAAGACAAGGAGATCTTCAACAGCAACACCTCCGAGTTAGTTGGGATGAAGAAAACATTAGTTTTTTACAAAGGAAGAGCTCCTAGAGGAGAGAAATCCAACTGGGTCATGCATGAATATCGTATTCATTCCAAATCCGCCTATAGAACAAGCAAGGTACATAGTTTATAAAATGTTAGGCATTTCCTAACAAATTATTTTTGCTTAATTATCTAGAACTAAAAGCATATAAACTGTCTTACTAGAAGTTGGCATAAGGTACGTAAGTCTCGTATATTTTGTCGTGTTTTTATCTTGGAGGTTCGACTAATTTACCTCTCCTCTAATATTTTCGATTTTCCTAATTAAATTTTACTCATAGGATTGCTTTTTTGAACTTTCACATTGATTTTGGGCTACCTGACCTCATAGAAGGATATGTTTATAATGAAAAATTGTTTTATAAAAAACAAAAACTGTGATGAACCTAGATAACTATTTTTCATTAAATAGAAAAGAGAATGGCTAAACAATAGAATTTTTTTTTATTTATTTACATTTTGGACTACCTCTTTACAAGCTTAAGATTAAAGATTAGTTTCTAGAATGTTTTATACATAAATATTCCATCTTATTTGTAATATTTTTGTCGTGAATATATCTTAAATTATTTTGTAGGGTTTCATTAACTTTTACAATAAATTCCTCACTGTTATACCTAAATCTTAATAAAATAAGTAATACAGTCTACAACAAGATATGCCTTAAACCTTTTCTTAAGAATGCTACAATCTTGATGTTATTTTGCTGCGACTAACATCACAATATAGTACTTTGATAAGATTGTATCATTTCTTGTACTTCTTGTTTCAGTAAAGCTTGACCTAATTTTTTTTCCAGCAAGATGAATGGGTTGTGTGCCGTGTGTTCCAGAAAAGTGCTGCAGGGAAAAAGTACCCTTCAAACCATTCAAGAGCTGTGAATCCCTACACTTACAATAATAATCTCGATTTAAGCCAAATATCCATGTCCTCACAAATGATCCAGCCTGATAATTTCCAGTTTCCAATGGGACGAAACTATATGACGCCAGCTGAACTGCAAGAATTTAATAAAGTGTTTAGATCCAGTGGTTCAACTAGCATAAACGTGCCAATCCCACAACACATAAACTATGCTGTAGGGGGCGGAGGTGGGGAAACAGGCATTTTCACCATCTCTGGATTGAATCTGAACCTAGGTGGTGGCGCCGCCCTGACGCAGCAACAATTCATGAGGCCACCACCTCCGGCTCCACCAATGAACCCACAAGATGGGACCTCATCCATGCTCACTGAAGCTGCAGGCTATGGAGGGGACATGAATAATGCAAATGCTATGAATAACAGGTTTATGGCCATGGAAAGTTGTGCTGAGTTAGATAACTACTGGCCTTCATATTAATTTGCAGGATGCATTCATGAATGTTAGAAGACTGGATTAAAACTTCGTGGAGTCTCAATTGTATGATAAAATTTGTGTAAATAGGGAGAATCTGAACTAGCTTTAATTACTACTGCTATTTGCTTTTACTTTTGGATATTGTTCATCCAGGCACTGGATGTTGAAGGTACAACTTCAGGGCTGGTGTTTGCTAGACTGAATTTTATTAGCTATAGATTGGAATTGCTGTGTTATATATGTATGGAATACATTCTATTTTGAGAGTTGAAAAATGTGAGGTGGATCAATTTAATCCGTTTGGCACATGAGTATTTATCTTGAGCACTTTGAAAGGATTGTACTAGTTGATGTGTATTATAGACCATAGATTAAATTCAATAGTCAATTACACATAGTAGTCTTGTCTCTTTCATAGTACAATATTTGAAATTGAATTTGAATTCAAATGGATATTTGGCTCTATATATAATTACATGACGTTTTCACCTTTTCATTTTGGATTTGGCATAACAAAAGAGAGAAAGCATAGAGAGGTAACCAAGTGGGAAAAGTTCATATCTCCGACGAAATTCTTGGTGGCTTCTGACGGATTAATTTCTCTGTATATCCACTGTCATTCTCGTAGACAACGGTGCATGATCCGGTGTGCCCAAAATCTGAGTTCAACGTCATATGACAAGTGCCATTAGTAGTGTTGAGAAGTTTTGAGTCTTTTTTTTGTTCGAATTTACACTTTGAGGGTTATATTTCCGCATTATAGTTGTAATAATCATTTTTTCTCTACATTTTAAACTCTAAAAAAAACCTCTCATACCCCCGACTTTCCTTTCATTACTTCCGACAAGAGTATGGATTTATAGATGAGCCTCCTATTATGATTGTGCTTGTATAAATCGAGCTGTCGAAACTCCATCAGTTAAAGTAGTGGAAGGTCCAATCATGTAATTCTCTCCTAAGTATTTTACTTACATTTTTCAAATTAGCTCCCGTTATTCCTTTCTATCGCAAGTTATCCCCATAATTAAGGAAGACAAGTATGTTACTATCTTGAGAGTACGAATAAAAATTCTTTTGTATTTGAGAGAGATACATAGATTAATTAATTAGAAAATTAAGTTTTGAAAAAGCGACTTTAAATTTTTGCGCTTTCTATATTCATATTATATGTTGAATTTGTGCAAGTTTTTGTTGAATAATCTACTTTACAAAAATTTTGTTTTGAAAAATGTCTTTCATGTTGCAAATGTTATAAGGCCTTGTTTGATAGGTGCCATTTTTCATGGAATTTGAAATATATTTTCCAACTTTCCACTTTTTGCCATGTTTGATAGGTAAAATATTTCATGGAATTTGTTTTCCAATGAAGCTTCACGTGATTGGCTTTTCCTTATTTAAAACAAATTCTATGGACAATTGTAAAATATAAAAAAAATTTCTCTTCAATGGACAATTTTCATGAAAAATAAAGTCAAACGAACACCAAAATATCAAAAAATTTAACATTTTACAGGTAAAAAATTATATTAATCAAACACAATTAATTGACAATTTTCTGTAAAATAATTCTAGGCAATTCAATTCCCTGTAATTCATTTTCTTTCCACCCAAATTCCACTCTTGCAGTCAAACGGACCCTAAATCATTTTAGGACTGAGATTAGACGGTGAAATAGAATAACACTCCCATTGAAATAAGCAAAATAAAAATAGATATGCCCATGTTTAGTGTCACGAGGTTGTTTAGAGGCACGTAGAAGATAGCCCAAATGTTTGTGGAATATTTTGGTGACAACACCGACGGATCGATTTCTATTTTCACTATCGCGAAATTTGTCATCAAGATGAATCGCCCTATAAGGGTCGATGAGCTCGTACTAGTGTCATGTTTCATTTGAGATCTTCACAAACCTAATGCTGAGTGAGAAAGATTTCCCTGGATTTTCGCGGCATCTGGACCAGAATGCAGTCCTCTCCTAGCGGCCGTTTGGCTCTCCACGTGTCGAAAAGTGAAATCCATTTTTTGGTTCAAGAAAAAGGGGGATTTTTTGGTTATGCGTCAATTTTAATATGATTGATAATTAGTACGACAATGGCTGTGTGACAAAACTTTCTAACAAAGTTGATTATTTATATGTATAGTTAAAAAATTGATAAGAATTTGGGATCCACAAAATATATATTTAGAATTAAATATTTACTAGTTAATAAAATCTTATCAAAGTTTTAGTTGATCTACATTCTTCTCAAAATTCATTCTTTCAAAATTTATTTTCAACCACACATTATTCAATAAGTCCCTGTTTGACACGCATTCATTTAAAAATACATTATTTCATAACTCATTTTCAACCATATATTTTTCAGTAAAATAATATTTTACATCACATCAATAATTTTTCCTTACTTTTTAACTGCATATTTCACATCATATCACTATTTAAAATATATTTTTTCTCAATAATATTCATCAAACACGCTCTAAAATAATATTATACGCAAATTCAGAACTTTTTTTTTTATTTTTTAACCATATATTTTAAGTCACATCACATCATAAAATGCATCATTTTCTAAAAAATGTGCATTAAACAACCCCTTATTAAATAAACATGAAGCTAACCTTGTTCAACTCTTTTCCAAATTTTTTGTTCCCTTCATCATCCGTACTCCTGGAGCAAAATAGTAAGAAGGTCACAACGATAATTGATATTCAACCTATTTCGTCTCTTATAATGCTTAAGAAAAATGGTTATCAATAAATCAGACACGTCCTATATAGACTTTTGGACTATTCATCTTTTTGTATCAAGATCTTGTGCAGTTTCCAACGTTCGACGGACAACAATTTATAACGCGCACAATAATTTGGAGTCCTATTGTAGGGATGATAACAGCACAGGTCGATCAAGATAGCCATTCTCGTCCTACCCCCATCAATGATTTTTGTCACCTTACCTTATCATCATACCGATCAGGGGCGGACCCACGAAGGGCCCAGCGGGGGCGGCCGCCCCCACTGAAAAAAAAAATAAAAAAATTAAAAAAATTAAAAATTTTTTTTTTTTTTTTACAGTTTTTTTTAGCTTATTTTCTATCTCAAATGCCAGGATCTGGTGAAACTCATGTTTTGTAAGTAATCTTTTTCTCTTTAATCTTATTACATATTCTTCAATCTCATAGAGTTGGATGGTTAAATTTCTTTCCCACTTGAATATAGCTTGCCAGAAGGGTTTGGAGTTCATGAGCTAGTTGGGAAAATGCAGCTAAATCTAAACTATTCAACAACTCCCCAAAAAAAAATTTCAGGGGCACTGCCCCCGAACCCTTGTAAGCACCACCCCTTCAACTTTGGACCCTCCCTACTTCAACGAGCTGGCTCCGTCCCTGATCTCGCCCCCACTCAAAATTTTATCTAGGTCCGCCCCTGATACCGATTAAGGTGAACGGGACAAAGTGGGTTCGGGTCTTGATTGGAGGCATGGCAAGTCCCCTGGCCCGTTTATCTCTTTTTTTTTCATACTTATATAAGCTAATGAAAATTAATACTTTTTTAAAAAAATTTGTTCTTAACAACCCATATTCTCTTTAAAAAGGATAATTATTCTTTTTTTATTCGATTAGACGGATAATCTCCGAAACGGGACTCACAAGTATTGAGTTTAACGAATTTTTGTGCCACTTATATCCTATTACACTTCCAATCCACCACACAAGGTTCGTCTAATGCAATTGATGTATCAATCTCAACCTTGTCTTTCATAGATTGCAGCATCTTTTAAATTTTGTTTTAAATGTCCATTTTCCTACAAATTTACAGTTGCCGACGTTTGTTGTGTACACACCAAAGTCAATGCCCAACTCAAGGGATAAAATCAAGACCTTAGAAATAAAAAACGAGAAGATATTAATAAATATTTCTTTAAAAAGCTAAAATGAAAAGCAAAATAAAACATTGTCAGAGCATCTCCAAAAAACCCTTTAAATATAAAATGCTATTTATTTTAGAGAACCAATATTTGAAAATGAGCTCTAAAAAACTTTCTATTTTAACTTTTTAAAATAAAAGGTGAGTTTAGCTTTTTAAACTTCCAAACTCACTATTTATTCATAATTTACCATAATTGTATTTAATAAATCACAAATTTCAATATTTTACTTCTTAAACTATTCAAGTAACATATAAAAAAATTATATTAAATAAAATATAACGAGAAATCAATAAATGTTATTTGGAAAAAGCAAAATGAAAGGCCAAAATAAAAAATTTGTTGGAAGTATATAAAAAATTTACTCTCTAAATTTAAATATATTCTCCCTAATACATACTAAGCTTTATAAAAATAAAAAATCTCTCGAAGATATTCTTAAAAGTATATTAAAAACATTTCTCTTTAAATTTAAAAATACTCTTTATAAATAGATAGTCTTAGAAATGTTCTTACCAAGCTAATGACCTCAATTCGAGCCTTCTTTTGGGGAGAAAGGGTGAAATTCATTTATTCCTCTAAAGGATCAAAGAATTGTACAATGCAAATAAAAATTCTCCAATCCTTAAATATATAACTAAATTTTACACTTTCATTATACTTTACCATATACACAATTGGCCCGACTAAAACCAAAATAAACAAATATATATAAAACATTATTTTATCTCCTCATTTTCAAATGTAGAATCGCACATTTCCACCACATTTTTACTCTAAAATTCTTAAAAGTTAATTAGATAACTTAAAGAGCTCAACAAGTACATATACCACAATCTGCACCAAAAATTCTAAATTATAAAAATAAATTTTAGAAAAATTGAATTACAAAACATGTAAGAATTGTATAGGAAGGTTTAACAGCAAAAGTACACCATAACATGACAGAGATAATACACAAATTCCTAGGCTAAGTGTAGCTTCAAAACTAGAATTTTCTCCGCCATATCCTCACAAACGAAATGGAATTTGCAAAAACATTCCCAGCGACAGTCTATAATTCATAAAAGAGAGAGCTCTTGAACTCCCTAAAAACCCGTGGGAAAAGACCAAATCCATCTGCACGAAATGACACAAAAAAGAATTGAAGAGCGATTGAGACGAAGCATCAACATTAGAAAACATAATTTACTCAAGGCAATGTAGCCATCTACGCAAATAGCGTCTCCTCAAATCGAGCAACTGCCTACAAAACCAAGTTAAGCCTTGTTCCAGTAAACTTTGTGTCAAGCTACATACATTCTTTTTCGCCAGTTCATTTAAATTCAGAACTACCAACAACTGTCTCATCCTTAGAAATAAACAAATAAATAAAGAGACGATAGTCTGGACAATGTGCCTGCATGTGCATTTTAGACAATTTCAGTACTTTGTTCATTCATATATTCATCTTGCATCATGGCTGCGGTTGTTAACATACTAGTGCTGAACCAGATCGTCCCGAGTTTGCATCTAAGCCCCCGTTTGGCCCCCATTAAAATTATAATCCACTTTTCTCTATCTTCTTATCAACCACATATTCTCAATAAAATAATATTACATGTAAATTCAAAACAATTTCTTTTTTCTTTTAAACCACATTTTCTTCGAAAAACACTAGTCCAAAAATTATAATCTCAAATAATGGGGGCCAAAACGGGGGCTAAAGCTATCACAGATTTGCTCATAGTTGAAACCAGACGAAACTGAATATGCTTTCAAGCCTGTAAGCTCTATTAGCTAGGCTCTTGAAGCTCATTAGTTTTTACCCAAGACCAAAAAATTTAATCAAGTAGTTCAAGACATTCAAAACCTAAACAGTCTTATCGTTCATGAAGCACCAAATGTGTACCACTTTATACGCGCAGGTGATGGACCCGCAGGCTATCTTCAAACTACTCGCCATTTTTTTTTCTTTTAATAAGGTTAAAACATGATATTATAGAAGCTAATCTCACCTACATAAAATTACTATTAATTCTTTTCCAATCTTACAGTCGACTCTACGGACAAATATTTCCTTTTCACTTTACTAAAGTGGTTAACCCGGTTTTTACGGAAGCCCGTGATACCGATATATAAAGAATGTCAAATTCTCTTCCGCAACCAACTTCATACATGACAAAAGGATCCAATATAAGTACACATTATTTTTCCCCTCCTACACAACTGCTTCATTTGCTAATAAAAATGTGATAGTATTAGCATAGTGGATAAGTCCTAGACTCTCTGCAACTTAGCGCTTCGTTGGAGGGAAAGACCCCTCCTATGCAACTCACACTCGAAGATTTTGACTATAATTGCCGATTGCACAAGTGAAGTATATTCATTCATGAACAACATGCAAACAATCCCAACAATATTAAGTTTTCTTAGAGGTTTAATAGCACACCTTGAATAGTAGTATTGGACACAGTTCCCAATTTTACTTGTCTGGATGTCCACGTTTGCCCTTCCGACGTGAATGGTTAGAGTTGCCATTCCTAATGGGCTTTTTCGCCTTTTTACTGCAATATGTAGATAAAATGTTTAACTCCCAACCGAAAAAGAGTCCTTAAAATAGAATTTCCTTATTTTTTATATTAGAAAGAATTTACAAAAATAATCAAAGATCAAAAAATAGGCAAGTAAACAACAAACCAGAAGGCGCCTGAACATATTTTGAACAGAATGATGATGGGCAAAATCAGCACAGCAGAAGCCTGCCACATAAAAAGTCAGTTGCAGCCTAATGGATACATGGATCGTGACAGTGAAAAATTAGAGACATGGGGCCATTGAAATATTAACAAAACTTACAACAAACCAAACAAGCTCTCTTGTTGCAAGAGGTCTTGTAAGCTCATGACTCTTCAGTTTTTCGTGCACAGTTTCTTGAACCTTCACAAAAGATAAGAAATTAAATTGAAATGATGCAGTATGACCCAGAGATGGTCTTCGTGAAGTTTGGCTACAATGGTGGCATTCGTCTGGAGGTGACTTTCCAGTTTAGAAGTCGTTAATGGTACAGCAAGAAGAGCTCTCTATACAGTGGGATAAGATATTAAAATTCTACAAATGAAGAACAACTTTCAATGTAATCTCCATCTATCCACCAAAAAATCACATTTGAACTTCAGTATTCGGATCTTAAAGGCTAAAGCCTGGAGGTGTAGTGTGTGTATGCGTGCAAGTGAGACGGAGCGAGAGTCAGGAGGTGAAGGACTAAGGGTCCGTTTGATTGCAAATGTGGAAAATTGGTGGAAATAAAATGTTTTACAGGAAATTGATTTGCCTAGAAATTATTTTACTGAAAATTGTAATTAATTGTGTTTGATTGGTATAATTTTTCATGGAAAATATTGAAAGTTTGTTGTTCGTTTGGTTTCGTTTTTATGGAAATTGTCTATTAAAGTGATAATTTTTTCTACCATTGGGTCTAAAATTTGTTCCAATTGCCAATAAAAAAAAATTATCATACCGAATATCATTCGTTTGGCTTTGTTTTGCATGAAAATTGTCAATAAAAGTGATAATTTTTTTTGACCATTGTATCTAGACTTTGTTCCAATTGCAAAAAAAAAACTCGAAATTTTTTTCCCACCAAAACATCAAGAATTTATTTTCCTCAAAAATGTGGAAAATGAGAAAAGGTGGAAAAATGTTCCCGTAAAATTTTGCCTATCAAACACTACAAAAGTTGGAAAATAGAAAAAATATTTTCCATGGAAAATAAGGCGAATCAAATGGAGCCCAAGTCAAATGATAATATCAATTGGGTACAGAGAAGGTAATGATCATTTAAACACATTGAATCTAAAGAAAACTGTAAAAGAGCGCCCAATGAAATAATTAGAGTGAAGAATGTATATAGCACTATCATACCTGATGGTGGTAAACTGTTGCAGACTCAAGGAACTTTCCGTAAGCATAAACTGCCTCCTTTGTATAGGGTTTTAAAGTAGTCCGGATTTTATCAACATGAGGTCTTGTTGCAGTGGCAACCTGATCAATATATGGTTTGCTAAATTTCCTTAATTCCTGCAATTAAATTAGGTTTACTTCAGATGGCAAAGAGGGGGAAAGAGAGAGAGTAAACAGATATTTGAGTAGACAAATATCTCACTTGATAATAAGGATCAGCAATTTCCTGAACTCGGATGATATGCGGAGTCACGGTGTTCTTGGATACCTCATATATCTCAAGAGTTTTTGTCGTTAGCATTTGTATATGAGGTTCAGCATTAGTTTTTGCTGTTATCCATTGTTCCTTTATAGCTGGGATCCATTTCTTCACACAGGATGGAGGGAATAAATCAGTATATGAAAATTCAAACTCACAGGAATAATGGAAAATATTCACAAAAGCATTAATGGTGTCTACTGCAATGTAACCAACTAATGTAAGTCTCATATCTTATGTTAGATCACTAGTCAAAATATGTGCCAAAGCGGTAAAGCACATGCACATTGGACAATCAACTGAAAGTAACAACTTAACTACGAATGCATTCCACAATCCCTGTTTTTCTACATTAGCATCAATAGAGCAAATCAAACACTCAATACTTAGCCTTGCTTAAGCAGTGTTGACTTACAGTTTTCAAGATTTCAACGTGTGGTGCAGCCCATTCTTCAACTTGGACCTTCTTCTCGATTGCCTGAAAAAAACAGGTAGAGGCTACTGACAAATGAAGTCTCAAGGCTAGCATGTAACATTACATAATTCCTTCATACACATAAACAATGTCTAAGAGGAAGCTTAGTGTGTTTAATGAAACTTAGACGCTTGCCTTTTGCACTGCCATCTCCAAGGCAGGTCTTCCATGTACGTTCCAGTTCTTCTCCAAGAGTGACTGTAAATAACAAACACAGTCAAAGTCACGAGAATAGTCAGCTAATATACAAGCATCAGAAAAAGAACAGGAAACAATACCTGGTAATGAATAAAATGAACTGCAAGCCAAGGAGGAAGCCATGCACCATGAACCTAATTATATATCACAAAAATGAAGAGGCCATATTACACCCAAAAGAGAAGTAAAAGGGCGGGGTTCTTAACAGCATAGCTCATAAAGGGAATAAATGGAGCAACTTTGAGCATACACGTAAAGACAACTCAGACATCAATTAGAGCCAATGAGAAGATCTTGACATACTAAGCATCATTGTAGAATATGTTGACCAGCTACAGCAAGGGAGTACATTGGGAGAAAACAGTTAATATGTGTATGTATGCATATGTTAAAAGAAAAAGGGGGGGGGTGTTCATGCAGGTAAAGAAAATGTAAACAAGAAGAATAGAAATCCATAAAATCTAGAAGAGCATAAATGTGCAAGGAAGGTCCTCTACTGAAAACCTAGATTTGCAACCTAGAACATCAAAATAGGGGCATCCAAAAACAGGGATTTCAAAGCTCAAAACCAGCCCAATTGAACTGCATTAACTTGGAATATATAAGTGACTTGACTGGACCAAATTAGTCACTTTAGGGTAGTTAGCAACTAATATAGAAATTGCATTCTTTATTATCTCACTTATATATACATCGTTTGTAGTGATAATGGATTACACAATTTTCTCTTCCTATATTTAACTTGGTATCAGATATAAGGGGAAAAAACCCAAATCAAAACCCTCAACTAGCAAAACCCTAGACATTTGGCAGCAACCCAAGCAATTTTGGGTTGTGTTCCTCTCTCCAGCTACCTCTGTGAACTCAGATCTATGTTGAACCAGCACCAGTGAACCTCTGGCCAGGCTGCTTCTGCTCCAGCGAACCTCTGGCATGGTCTCCCTAGCTCCAGCAAACCATTTTCAGATCAAAGGTTAGTCAATTGAGGGTCCTTCTTCTGGTTGGAGATTTTTCTTGAGCTGTTGGTGTTTTTTGGTGGCTGGTGGTGTTGTTTTCTTACAGTGAGTTGCGGGTGTTGGTGTTGTTTTCTTATGGTGAATTGCTGGTGGTAGTGTTTCCTTGCGCCGGGTTTGAAATTGTGAAATTTTGGGCGGTTGTGTGGTTTTGGACTGACAATCAAACGCTAGAAAAAAATGGGCAACAACATTCACGATACTGCCTTTCCCATTCATATTTACTTGGACGGCACAAATTATCGTGTTTGATCTAAAATTTTGGAGATGCACATTGCTGGTACAAAGAAGAGTTACATTTCGGGACTAAAGACTGCACCAGCAAAGATTGGAGGATGGTGATGCTCTAGTGAAGTCTTCGCTTATAAATTCCATGATATATGATTTGATGTCCCACTTTCGTTCAATGTGGGACAGCCAAGGAGGTTTGGAATGCCGTTAAAGAAGCCACCTTGATATCTTTAACTCATCACATGATGAAGAAGTCGGTTTAGTTACTACAAGGGGGATGGCCACTTGCAGAGTACTACAATGAAATAAAGTCTCAATAAATGGAGCTTGATTACCGTAGATCAAACAATATGACTTTTGCTTATGTTGAAAAATTAAGAAAGCGGACTGCTGAGGATCAGGTTTATACGTTCCTTGCAGGTCTTGATCACAGTTATTGATCAATTAAGTAGTTGGGTCTTAGCTACTTCCCTCTCCCCAGTTTGGAGGAAGCCTACTCAATGGTCCATTGTGAGAGCAGAGATAGCTCACCATGGGAGCAAAAGTTCACTCTAAGGCCTCTGCTCGGGCTGTCCCCAAGACCAGCTCCTGATCAGCACCGCCTACCCCTTCTACTGAGTTCTGCACCTTGCGTCACAGCACTAGACATTTTGTTGTTAAGTGCCCCAAGAAGCATGGCTATCTGGATAGTTCAAACTCAAGCAAACCGAAGAGAGGAAACATGCTCAGGCTGCCCTCACTGACACCTCTCCATCCTCTGCTTCTCATGTAGCCCGGGTGCAGAGCCAGCCTTGAGGCGAGGCGGATGAGGCCCGCGCCTCAAGCCCAAAACTGGAGGGGGGCCTCATTTTTTGGCCCACATTTTTTTTTTTGTTTTTTTTTTTTTAGGCACTAATCGAATCAACAGGACGGGCCTTGTCTCCTCCCCTTTCAACTCCAACAGATTCTTCAAGCCGCCCCGACGTCGACGCCTTTCCGGACGCCTTTCTCTCCCGTCTCCACTCTTCGTTTGCTGGTACTTCCTCCAGTTTCATAGCCACCTAATTTGATGGGTTCATGCCTGTAAATACCTTCTGCTTTCTTCTCCTATTTTACTCTCTAATTAAGTAGTTTTTAGCATTTCTCGACAAACCCTTCAATTTTTCTTTGTTGTTTTATAGTTTCTGTTAACTGCTTCAATTATTATTTAAAATGTAATCTCCTTCAATATATATGGAAGTAATTTTTTTGTGCTTAGGCTTTCACGGTGAAAAGTGAAAATTTACACTGCACTAAATTTACACTCACTCTCCTTCAATATATACATATGTGGAAGTGATTTTTTTGTGCTTAGGCTTTCATGGTGAAAAGTGAAAATATTAGCAAAATTGAAGGGTGGTTGAAGGAATTTTGAGTACTTCCTAATCCTGTTTGAAATGACTTGGGGGCCTTTTTTGGATGCATATGTAGATGTTTGGATTGGAGAAGGCTCTGAATCAGGCAAATTATTGTAGGATTTATAAAGGAATAGAGCCTCACACAAAGCTTGTTTTGCCATATGAATATCAATTTAAAGCCTCTTCTCCCACCGTCCTTTACAGATTGATTTAGAAACTGAGTGCCTTTCTTGAAAATTTTAAAAAGGCGATTATTTGATTGCCATATAAATATCAGTTTGAAACTTGTTTTGACGTGCCTTTACAGTGTTAGATGATTATTTAACTAATTTTAAAAGGCAAAACGTTTTTTAACCTTTTATTGATTAAAAAGGGTAAATTTCATATCTTAAGATTTTGTATTGGTGTCGTGGTTAATGTGAAATTTTGATTTCATGCTTGTAAAATCTGACAGTGGAATTCCCAAGAGTGTGATTCTATAATTTTCGTTGAAATTCTACTTCCCAGGCAAGCAATGACTTGCCCAAACTTGATATTGAATATATTGAAAATGTTTGAAACCTTGTCAGCTTATATAATTGTGGTCTGGTTGGCTAATATGAATGGTTATTATAGCCTACAAGGTAAATAGTATTTAACTGGTTGTTTGAACTCTCGTCGATTTTGTTTCTTTATAATGTAAATCTTTTGTTCTTTATATTTGTTTGTGGTTCTACTGTTAAGTTTTAAGTTAGCAATACGTTACATAATATACTATTGGATTTTGCATTTACGTTGATTTTGGGGGGGGGCAATTTATAGACTTCGCCTCGGGCCCCGAAAATCATAGGACCAGCCCTGCTTGGGTGTCTCCTCATGAAGGCAATTTTGGTTTGGGATTTAGCTCTACCGCTTCCAATACTTGGGTTATTGATTCAGAAGCCACCCATCATTTGACTAATAATTCTTCCTCACTGGATTCTGTAACCTTGCCAATTACTGGGGCCGGAAATGTCTCAATTTCCCCTATGTACTCTTCCTTCTATTTTACCAGCACCTACTCTATCTAATAATCTTCTCTCTATCTATCAGTAAGATTACAAAACAAGTGAACTGATAGTATAAATTATCTAGAAAAGTAATAAAACATTACAATCTTGCAACACATACATTCTACTGGACAGTCTGCTTTACATTGTACTATGTGACACAATTTTACCATTCATTTCTACAACACCTAAACAATCAATGATCTCCATTTTGCCACATATTCAAATGTCATCCAAGTTGTATAAAAATAATGTACAAGTAGCATAATTGTAAACATTATAAAATCGTATTGATGTGCACATGAATCCATTGACCTAATAATTAGATTGGACTCAGTAACTAACTCGTTGATCCGTTCATGAATTGATTGGCGGGAAGAATTGTTAAGGAATAAACCTCACATCGAATAAAGATGAAAACATAAACAAGTTTATAAGGGCATGGGGTTACTTCTGGTAACAAAATTAACATTTTAAGATGAAACATCAAGTCTTAATATTGTATCAGAACCCCATTAAATTCTAACGAATAATTCAATTAGATTAAGATGCAAAAAATGAACACACGAATATTAATATTAGTTTGCTCAAACGAGCCACCATCTTGCTGGTGCATGTTAAGAAATAAATCATGCATCAAATAAAGATAAAAACATAGATAAATTTATAAGGATTTAAGCAACTCCTCTTAATAAGGTTGACTTTTTAAGATAGACTCCAAGTCTTAGTAAGAATTACCACAAGTTCCCAACAAATGAACTATTGGCAGACTATATTTATCCTAATCCATATACACAAGAAAAAGTTAGGTTGATTCTATGTGGGAAAGATTAGGTGTCAATTTATGATACGTTAAATGCAGATTTGATCAACATAAAAGCATAAGTTATAGGACAGAAAATACCATAGACAGGAAAAAAAAATCCGTGAATAACAGAACAACTAAGGTCCCCTCTTTCATAGAGTAGGTGCTGGTAAAACAGAAGACAAATAATCCATCACTAATCAACAGTTAGTCAATAATCCATCACTGATCAACAAAGCAAGAGTAGAAGAAGAAAAAAAGAAGAGTTCACTCTTATACCAGAAAATGATGTGCAATGACAAAATTGAGAATTTGAGATAGAAAATACAGTACAAGAGCGCTTAGACCAGATAAGTTATGTTTAATAGGAAACTAAGTGCCAATTCACACTTCATCAACAAAACAAGCTTAGTGAAAAGGTTATTCAAAATAAACATGAACTAGAAATAGTTCAATATTTCCATGATACCAAAAAAATAGAAGATGAATAATTAGTTATTCAGGACTTTGATAAACGAATAAAAACATTAGTAAGTATGAGGGAGAGAGAGAATTGACATGAGAATGAATTGTGTCGACTATTAATATCATATTCTTGGTTTCAAATGAAAAGTTTGTACAGAACCTAGATGATATGAATCAGCTTTATAGCCATGAAGAAAAGCATCAATTACTGCGCTGCTGAAGAACTACAGTGGAAATAAAGAACCTTTCATTGTGTCTAATAGGTACCATGAAATGCAACAAAACATATAAGCAATAAGGAAGTCAACTCAGATTCCAAAACTAAACTTCAATGAATTATTCACAGAAAGAGTTGTAGAAAATATAAAACAAACCACTGAAAGCTCACCTCTATTAACTCCTTGGTTTTGGATGTATATTCAGACTTTGCCTTCATTAATTCCTCCTGCATTGAATTTCATAATTAAAGAAAAAGCAATTAATTATCCAACCAAATGTTCAAACAAATTTAACAAGTATATGAAGTATGAGTAATATACCTCGGCAATTTGAAGAGCTCGTTCAGTTTTACGTAACTTTTTTTTCTGTTCATCGACGACTTTTTGAAGCTGCAAACAGAATGGCAGCAACCCATGCATAAACGTGTGATGAGAATTAGATTGAAGTACAGATAGAGAGAAAGAGCGGGTTTTTATTTTCTTTTTTTCACAAGTAGTGAAGGGTGTACATAAAACACAAAATTAGAGGTGTAAGACGTCCAGTTTGGCCAGTTTTGACAGATTTTTAAACCAACCAATTAAATGCTTCGATCTCTTCTGCAAATCGTAGTCGCCGTCACTATTGTTAGTTTACTCTCACAAGCTTCAAAGGTCTGGGACCTCATCTGGAATGTTCCCCATTTATTTAGTCATGCTTATAATTATTAATTATCAGCAGCCTCCTATCTGTTGAGAAAAAACCCAAACCGAAACCAAACAATTTAAAGCAGTTTGAAAAAACCTAATGGTTTGGTCAAGCTTTGAACCGCAGTTTGGCTACCTGTTCACTTTATCATACTTAATTACTGAGAGAAAAAAAGTGTATATCAAAGTATAAATTTAAATACCAATAAAATCGAAAAAGCCTCAACAATTAGGTTATGAAATTAGGGTAATTTATTGTGGGTGGCTATATTGCCACCAGGATTTTTGTTTGTTACACCACTTTACATAAAGTAAGAACACACTAATTAAAACACGTTATTGATAAATACAACAAGATTATATTACAAGCATAACATTTGTTCAAATTAGGGAGGGAAAATAAAAATAAAAATAATATATCTATATATATATATATCCAGTACACCAGTCATACATGAAATCCCTTCCCAAACTCTACCAAACAATCATCGGACTTTTTCCGGCCACCAATTTCTTCTTAATAGCCTTTTAATGGTGTCTCTATTCCGTCTAATTCCTCCTTGTTTATCAAGGCAAAAAAGAACAGGGTTAGACTCTAGTTAGGCTCCTTCATGGACTCTGCCATATTTTATCTTTAATAAATAAGGACGCCAATTTGTAATAAAGGAGAGCTTAGTCAAGCGATATATCATCATTATTTCCAAGTTCGCTACTTAAAGACAAAACTTATGAAATTTTGAGGCCATATTTATGAGTATAAAACAATTTTCAGGCATAGCAGACAAAGAAACAACTTACATTCTCAACTTTAGCATTTAAGTCAACCGTCTTCTTTGCAGCTTCCTTTGCTCGGTCTTCGACTACTTCCTTTTCCTTATTTATCACTTCAATGTCTGTTTTGAGTTTCTCCACCTG